TGTCTTCTTCTGCCTTTCTAACCCCCAACAGTGACTAGACACTGTGTGTGTGTGTCTTCTTCTGCCTTTCTAACCCCCAACAGTGACTAGACACTGTGTGTGTCTGTCTTCTTCTGCCTTTCTAACCCCCAACAGTGACTAGACACTGTGTGTGTGTCTTCTTCTGCCTTTCTAGCCCCCCACAGTGACTACTGTGTATGTCTTCTTCTGCCTTTCTAGCCCCCAACATAGACTAGACACTGTGTGTGTATGTCTTCTCCTGCCTTTCTAGACCCCAACAGAGCACAGGACTTCAACTCTCGTCAAGTCATTCTATCCTTTACTATTGTATGCAGCTCTTCCCATGATCTTCCCATTTTTTTTAACTTCACTCTGTAGCTTTTCTTCTTTATGTGTTTTTTGTGTTTGTTTTTTTTGTCCTATCCACCGCCAGCATTTTTTCTTTACCCTTTGGTCCTCTGGAACTGGTTTAGTTCTCTCCCAATCTCCACATTATCGATTCTATCATAACATTTAATTCCGGCTATTCTGCACAAGCACCAGTGTGTATTTGCGCTGCTGTTTGTGCTTCTAAAAAAAAGATTTTTTTTTTTGATGTGTACCTTTGCAACTTGTTTTTTTTTTTTTTTTTTAATTATTCTGTTTCACTGTTGTATTTCACTGTTGTATTTCAGGGAAACAAAAACAATCAAATGCAGAGATTCTGAAGGAATAAAAAGATTGTTGGAGTAAATTTAAAAAAAAAAAAAAAGATACATGAAATATTTTGGCAACTCTTATAAAAAATATACTGGAGGAAGAAGTTGAAGAAGTTAGCAAGAGTCAGACAATGATACACATGAGCAGATAACACAAAGAGATGGGCGAAGAGCAGTCTGAGAGAGTGTACATTCAAAGTTAAATGGCAGACCATAGTTGCCGACCTTGGCTGTGGGGATGGCACCTGATTTATTACAGATTAACTAAGGTGAGAATTCACAACTGGCATGGTGTATTCAACACTAATTCAATCATCTTCTTATTCTGGTTATCTGAGCTATGCCTTAACAGGACAACTGGGGCACTGTGTGTGGTGGTTTAAAGCTAGGATGTGATATCTCCTCCTTTCAATGGCGGCCTACTGGTCACAGCACACTGTAATAATTGAATAAAATAACAAATATGAGAGAACATAACATTTTTTATTTACATAGGAAAATTCAATCAAACATACAAAGTCTGTGATGTTTCCAGAAATCTTTCAGGCAACAACTTTTTTTTAAAGAACTCTACTGAAGTTTTAAGTGTTATTCCTTTATTGACTGCCTCCAGCCTGACAAATTCTTCTTCTTCTTTGGCATTTCAAGTCCTTAAGGTTCTCTGTCACAGATATCACCTGCTTTTATTCTGTGATTGGCCATCTCTTTCGAGCTGGGGACACATTTGTCTGTATATTCTTGGTCTGTCTCATAGTCTAATCCTATTGAACTCTTTTTTTTTTTGTCAGCAATTTTTGTCTCTCTGTTATCAGCCATTGATTTTATCTGGCCCAACCAGTTAAGTCAAGAATTGACATCACAGCACTCGGGGCATTTCCATGTATGCTCTGTCCTCATCTTAAGCAGCCAGTGCAGAGTTCCTTCAGATGGCCCAACCATTGGTCTAGCATCATAATCCATTAGCACTTCTCTGTCTTTCCAGACGATAGGGTTATACTGCTTGATGAGAAGGCATGGGACTCACAGCCCATGGCGATGGCGAGGGTGACTAGCAAGACCTGGCTGCGTTGAAAACAGTGGGTGACTACAAGACCTGGCTGCGTTGAAAACAGTCTTCCACAATTATAGCATGCGCTTTCAGGAGCATTGTTGTCAACATTGGTGTTTAGTCGGTTTTTTCTCAGCTCTCATCCTTTCTGCAATCATTTCTTCCTTCATTCTTTTTCCCTTCCTGGTGTGCCCCCTCCGTGGCATTTTATTTCCATGAAACTACCTCAGTACCTGTATCATTCATGTCCCGCTTGCACACATCTTTATATCGTAGTAGAGGTCAGCCTCGACATCTTCTTCCTGTCTTTAATTCACCATAGAGGATGTCCTTAGGGACTCTCTCATCCTCCCTTCTCCAGGTGTGACCTACCCACATGAGCCTTCATCCTTCATTCTCCAGGTGTGACACAGCCACCTGAGCCTTCACCCTCAATACATGTGAGTTGGCCATCAGTGCTAGAGTTGTGCAGGGACACGATCAAGGCACCTGAAGACAATCTTCGCTACTATAATGCAGATGCTAACAGTCTACCTACAGTTAACTAACAGCAATATGTCCTCGACATAAAATCACGTAGCCCCCCCCCCCCCCCCCCCAAACGGACCTAAAAACATCGAAAGGAAACGAACACAAAGCAGAAGATATCTATTTGCCGGACGAGGAGGACTTCTTCGATAATGATCCAACAGCTGGGATAACTGTGGCTTTGGTACCTGTTGCTACGGCCGTGAGGTTCACAATCCCTGGATTCTGATTGGCTGAAGACATCTTAGAAACATGAATTAGGGCTGTCGGCTGGGTGTCCCATTTAGTCTTTCGTTTCTTTTCATCTGGGAGATAAAGATAGTTCATTTATCAATTAAACCCTACTCAAATTTTACATTTTGCATCAAATTCATTGAAAAAAGAGAAGATCAAATGGTTAGGACGTCTCATTATACTGCAGTCTCAACTACCAACCAAGGTGCTACATATGAAAATGCCTTCTGTTTAGGAAGAGTTCGCCCTAGGACAATATGGACTGATGACATCAAAGATCTACACTGGCACAGAATAACAATAGCTACTGGTACCCAATATTAATGTAGGGCTATTCAACTAAGTTTACTCAGGGTTATAATTTTGACAATGAGGATCACTGCAGGGCAGAGACATGAGCCCTGGTGTAGAGAGATCACTGCAGGGCAGAGACACGAGCTCCGGTGTAGAGAGATCATTCATACAACCAGCACTGGTCTGCAGGCCATGTGCTAGGCCCCCGTGGGCCTCAAGTTAAACAGCCCTCTGATCTAGATTAATAGTTTCACTCCACAGGGCCACATTATTTACAGGGGGTTTGGATCGAAAGAGTTCAGGGCAAAACCCAAAGGAAGAAACATAGCAAACTCTTCTTGCCTCTCATCTTCTTCCTCTTCACGTTCGTCAGATGTAAGCTCCGGTGGAAAATTCTGGTGGTTCATCCACTTCTATTCCAGAATCTGAGTGTTGCGTGCACACTGACTCACGCGTAAGCAGACTGTTGGTTCCTTGCCTCTCTCTCAGGCAGATGTACTCTGACTTTGGAGGGAGCTTCTTTTTTTTTTTTTTTTTTTTTTAACGTATCCAGAAACCATTAGTTGTAAACCCTTTGGCTCGGTACTTTGGATATCGCAACCCTTCGGCCTTGATTCCATTATAGGTACCGTTAATCTGGGAGAAATGTGGCTTTTCTGCCTACCCCCGGGAGTGAACCCGGACCACAAGGAGTTCGTCACCCGGCCGCCGCGAAAGTCAGGTTTAACCAACTTCGCTAGAGAGCCGGGCGGAGGGAGCTTCCAATAAGTTGACTCTTATGAAATGATTTTAAGGAGGCAGTGAGTCTATGTGCACTGGGGTCCCAGAACCCACATCAGGATCTTGCCTCTTATGACATGTGTGAAAAATTGGTGTTGCTATACACTGCGAGGAGCGGCTGGCTGAATGGTTAGAACACTAGGCTATCATGCGGGAGACCCAGGTTTAAATCTTAGGTAAGGCTGGGAATTATTTTCTCTCGGAGGCAAAATAAAATCCTCACCTGCACAGTTGTGGCGAAAGCACTAGCCATGCGGCCGTCAATCCTCAGGCAGCAATATGAAGGCAGTAATTGGCTATTCACTGCTTCCCCTAAAGACCCCAGCAGCATATAGACATGAAAAACTTTCTATGATATCACTGTGAATCAACTTACCAGGTTGGCCGGCCAAACTGTCTGTAGATGTTGCCTGCTTTTTTGTTCCCATCATAAACTCAATCTGTTCAGAAACACGCACAAGCTTTTATAAACAAGGGTATTTGAGGGTCTCAATGAAGTCGTCATTAGAGCAACATGAAGCAGACTCCTGCAAGTCAGCATGGTTCAACCCAACTTCAAGTGGGTACCAGGAATTATCATGCAGAAGTAAATGCACCCGGGGTGTGCCAAAGCAAGAGGTATGGGAATGTATGATGTATTAAAGGATTTAAGAAGGATTAATGTACAAGCTATGAGCACTACCTTAAACAGCTCATTTTCCTGGGCTGTCCATTTAGACAGTATATTTATGCCTATTATCTTCACTTTCCCTGGCTGTAAACTTGGGCAGAAAGTTCCAAAGTCCCATTGTAAGAGTTGACTAATTAGGGGTTTTTCTCTGAAGTCAGAGTGCCTTGACAGGCAAGAAACCAACATTGTGCACACCAGATGTGTAAAATGGATGTGCAAGCAAAACTTATGTTCTGGAACAAGACTAAAGTCTATAAATACATAAACAACAAGAATTCCATTTACAGTGTACACGAAGAAGAAGACATGTAACTTTCTACATAAGTCTTCATACATCATTATGTGTCTTCAATATGCTTACATGTGTCTTCAATATGCTTACATGTGTCTTCAATATGCTTACATGTGTCTTCAATATGCTTACATCTGTCTTCAATATGCTTACACATGTCTTCAATATGCTTACATGTGTCTTCAATATGTTCATGTGTCTTTAATGCTTACATGTGTCTTTAATGCTTACATGTGTCTTCAATATGCTTACATGTGTCTTCAATATGCTTACATGCAAGTTTTAATATGCTTACATGTGTCTTCAATACACTTACATGTGTCTTCAATATGCTCACATGTGTCTTCAATATGCTCACATGTCTCTTCAATATGCTCACATGTGTCTTCAATATGCTTACATGTGTCTTCAATATGCTTACATGTGTCTTCAATATGTTCATGTGTCTTTAATGCTTACATGTGTCTTTAATGCTTACATGTGTCTTCAATATGCTTACATGTGTCTTCAATATGCTTACATGCAAGTTTTAATATGCTTACATGTGTCTTCAATACACTTACATGTGTCTTCAATATGCTCACATGTCTCTTCAATATGCCCACATGTCTCTTCAATATGCTCACATGTGTCTTCAATATGCTTACATGTGTCTTCAATATGTTCATGTGTCTTTAATGCTTACATGTGTCTTCAATATGCGTACATGTGTCTTCAATATGCTTACATGTGTCTTCAATATGCTTACATGTGTCTTCAATATGCTTACATGTGTCTTCAATACGCTTACATGTGTCTTCAATACACTTACATGTGTCTTTAATATGTTTACGTGTCTTTAATGCTTACATGTGTCTTCAATATGCTCACATGTGTCTTCAATATGCTTACATGTGTCTTCAATATGCTTACATGTGTCTTTAATATGCTTACATGCGTCTTCAATATGATTACATGTGTCTTCTATAAGCTTACATGTGTCTCCAATACTTACATGTGTCTTCAATATGCTTGCATGTGTCTTCAATATGCTTGCATGTGTCTCCAATACATTTACATGTGTCTCCAATACATTTACATGTGTCTCCAATACACTTACATGTGTCTTCATTATGTTTACACGTGTCTTCAATATGCTTACACGTGTCTTCAATACACTTAAATGTGTCTTTAATATGCTTACTTGTGTCTTTAATATTCTTACATGTTTTTAATATGCTTACATGTGTCTTTAATATGTTAACACGTGTCTTTAATATGCTTTCATGTGTCTTTAATATGCTTACATGTGTCTTTAATATGCTTACTTGTGTCTTTAATATGCTTACATGTGTCTTTAATATGCTTACATGTGTCTTTAATATGCTTACATGTGTCTTTAATTTGTTTACATGTGTCTTTAATATGCTTACATGTGTCTTTAATGCTTGCATGTGTCTTCAATGTTGTTACATGTGTTTTTAACGCTCGCTTGTGTCTTTAATATGCTTACATGTGTCTTTAATATGCTTAGTTGTGTCTTTAATATGCTTACATGTGTCTTTAATATGCTTGCATTTGTCTTTAATATGTTTACACATGTCTTTAATATGCTTACATGTGTCTTTAATATGCTTAAATGTGTCTTTAATGTGCTTACAAGTGTTTTTAATATGCTCACATGTGTCTTTAATATGCTTACAAGTGTCTTCAATATGCTTACAGCTATTTTCAACAAGCGTATATCTGTCTTCAATATGCTTAAATGTGTTCTTTAATCATTATACTAATATATTTTTCCTATCATTTAAACATTTCTAAAATTGCTGTCTCAAAGATCTGAACCTACAAACAGCAAGCCAATAGGTAATTGAGTTAGCCACTGCACAAATGGGTGCTTCCAATGCAATATATACTTCATAATGATAAACTTATAATGTAAAATAAGGGTAACAGGATGGGGCCTGATCATGGCTGGACTGTCAGGAATTTGCTGTACACTGAATGTGCACAAGTCAATTGATAAAAGACAGGAGGACAGGTTAATTTTACATAACATATTCACTGGTGAGACAATGAACGTTACAATGTGTCTGGCGGCTGCATGGTCTCCAGGCATGGTGTCCGCCCCGAGTGCTAGACGTTCCGGGTTCAATCCCTGGTAAGAGCTGGGATTTTTTTTCACGTGGACTTCTAGTAATCCCCCCTGTTCTCTGGGTAGTGAGATCAGGCGCCCGTGTCCATTGCTGCGCATGTAAAAAAAAATTCCTTGGCAGTTGGAAATTCGAAAAGAGTTGCCTAACGGCGCTGCCTGGGTAACATTTTGAGCTAAAAATCTACCGAAAGTTTGTTCAGGATCCTCACCAATTCTACAGAGTTTGTGCACTGTGCTGAGATTCTATGGACTCAGTCTTGAGTTAGAAGAAAAAACAGAATAGTTATGGGTTACTACCCTGTGCCTTGATTTTTGATCCATTGTTTAAATGTCAACACCATACAATGTGTCTTTAAACAGCATTATAGATTACTACACATGTCCATAAACATCAGGGTTATTCAAATGGTGGCCCCCACATCTGGCTGGTAAAGGCCTAGCTAGTTGCCCATTGGAGATGAGTTACAGCACTCAGGGCATTCCCATGCATGTTCAGTCTTCATCCGCCAGCGCAGAGTTCCAGTACCGATGATACCGGTCACAATCTGGTTAAATGTCCATCTTGCCTTTCCTCTGAATGTAGTGAGCCGACCAGACCCTCTGGTTACACCAAGGTGCCTCATTCTCTCCAGGCCATAATAATCTTTCTCTACTGATTCTATTGCTTGTTCCCAAAGGGCCTTGACCACATCTGCCTTGTCATGTTTCAATTCACCACCCAGTGGTTCAGATCCAGCCAGTCTGTCTGCCTGTTCATTACCCACCACGCCGGCATAGCCTGAAGAAAATATCCAATGTATGCCCTTGACCTTTCCAGTGAAGCTTGCCATTCTGCTCGAAGCATCCCTGTCTTCACCTTTTTTAGCATGCTTTCAGAGTCTGTTACAATTATGACATGTGTACTCATCTTGTTCTCTAGCAACCGGAGAGCTGTAGCTACTGCCTCCGCTTCCATTCTCATGCTAGATTTTGTGGTGTCATATGCTAGGCTGTCTTGCACTAAAGATTTTCCATTGGCTTTCACTATGCACTTCTCTCTCCTCTCAACGCCAAACCATCTGTTTAGATAAGCATATTACCTTAGTGTGAATTGTCATGAATCAACTGTTGGACTTTTAACTCCCTAGCACCTGCTGGCCACTTTCTTCACACTCGGCCTAATGTGACTGCCCGTTGGATCTTTACCATTTGTATTGTATTAATGATCTTCCTATGCTAGGACTTGGACCTAAGGCCTGTAGTGATCCCCATTTGCAACAATTGGGCACCTGAGTAAACTCAGTTGAATAACCCAGATATACATCATTACGTATGTCTTTGTGCCTCATTACACTTGTGCCTCATTACACCTGTACTGATGCATTACCATGCCTTCCTTTGTACATCATTGCTACACTTGTATATCAACATCTTTACACTCATTCATTCATTCATTCAGTAGCATGTCCCTCGCGGAACCTCGCTGCCAATACAACCCTCCGGAAAACCTTCCTATCCTGAGCAAGATGTCCTGCATCTGATACACCCATCTGGAGATCATCTGCCACATCCTGCACCCATCTTCTCCTTGGCCTTCCTCTTCCTCTCTTCCCAGGCATATACCCCTCCATTATTGTTCTCTCTAGACTTCCATGACGTTTCAAGTGACCAAAATATTTCAATTTTCTTTGTTTTATTGTCTTTACTAGCCAATCCTCTTCAATATTCAGCTCTTGAAGTATGGATGCATTTGTTCTTTTCTTTACCCAAGATATTCTTAGAACCTGTCTGTAACATTTATATTCAAATGCATTTATGCGCTGTTCCGCTTGTTTAGTAAGTGTCCAGGTCTCACAGGCGTATGTTGCAATGGGAAAGATGCATGCTCTTAAAAATCTGACCTTTGTAGTTCTATCTGTACAATTCCATAATTTATTCAGTTGTTTTAGTCTTTGTTTTAGTCTTTACACTAGCCAACAATTATCATTACACTTGTCTATGAACATCATTACACCCATCAATAAACAATACACGAGTCTTTAACATCATTATAGAAGTATATAGATATTACTACACAGGTCTCTAAACACTACACTGGACTATAAACATCCTTACACCAACCTATAAACATTTCAACGGTCGATTAACATCATTATACCGGTCAAGAAACATCCTTACGCTGGCCTGTAATCATCCTTACACTGGTCTATAAACATCATTTCACCAGTCTATAATCATTCTGACATCCTAACACCAATCTTAAACATCCTTACACTGGTCTATAAACATCATTACATTTTTGTAAAAACATCCTTACACTGGTCTATAAACATCCTTACACTGATCTCTAAACATCCTTACACCGATCTATAATCATCCTTTACACTGTTTATTATTATCCTTACACCGATCTATAAATATCCTTACACTGATCTATAAACATCCTTACACTGATCTATAAATATCCTTACACTGATCTATAAGTATCCTTACACTGATCTATAAACATCCTTACACCGATCTATAAATATCCTTACACCGATCTATAAATATCCTTACACTGATCTATAAACACCATTCACAGGCAGGCAAAAACCGGCTCACACCGGTCTATACAAATGCTTACACAGCGAACAATATTTGTAATGGCCTCTAAACACCGATTCACAGACACTACCTACAGGTGCCTTTTTCTTGTCCTTTTCTCGTCTCTCCATATCCTTGCGTTGTGCTTTATCTGTGAAGTTAATAAATGACAGTATCAGATACAGGCCAATATTTTAAAAAATGTATGTACAGATTTTGGAGCCCCACTCAGAAGGGAAGGAGGAAAAGAGCAGGTCGGCTAACCCTAACAAACATTTTGTAAAAGGCAAATAATTAGCAATCAGCTGAAATCAAATGTGGTGGACAGCAAGGTGCAGATATTGCCACTTAGCTGAAAACAATAACACAATGTGCTAACCGTCATACTAAGGACAACTGTAGAACAATAACACAATGTGCTAACCATCATACTAAGGGCAACTGTAGAACAATAACACAATCTGCTAACCGTCATACTAAGGGCAACTGTAGAACAATAACACAATGTGCTAACTGTCATACTAAGGACAACTGTAGAACAATAACACAATGTGCTAACCATCATACTAAGGGCAACTGTAGAACAATAACACAATCTGCTAACCGTCATACTAAGGGCAACTGTAGAACAATAACACAATGTGCTAACTGTCATACTAAGGACAACTGTAGAACAATAACACAATGTGCTAACCATCATACTAAGGGCAACTTAGAAAAATAACACTATGTGCTAACCATCATACTAAGGGCAACTGTAAAACAATAACACAATGTGCTAACCTTCATACTAAGGGCAACTGTAAAACAATAACACAATGTGCTAACCATCATACTAAGGGCAACTGTAGAGCAATAACACAATGTGCTAACCTTCATACTAAGGGCAACTGTAGAACAATAACACAATGTGCTAACCTTCATACTAAGGACAACTGTAGAACAATAACACAATGTGCTAACCATCATACTAAGGGCAACTGTAGAGCAATAACACAATGTGCTAACCATCATACTAAGGGCAACTTAGAAAAATAACACTATGTGCTAACCATCATACTAAGGGCAACTGTAAAACAATAACACAATGTGCTAACCTTCATACTAAGGACAACTATAGAACAATAACACAATGTGCTAACCATCATACTAAGGGCAACTTAGAAAAATAACACTATGTGCTAACCATCATACTAAGGGCAACTGTAAAACAATAACACAATGTGCTAACCTTCATACTAAGGGCAACTGTAAAACAATAACACAATGTGCTAACCTTCATACTAAGGGCAACTGTAGAACAATAACACAATGTGCTAACCATCATACTAAGGGCAACTGTAAAACAATAACACAATGTGCTAACCTTCATACTAAGGACAACTGTAGAACAATAACACAATGTGCTAACCATCATACTAAGGGCAACTGTAGAGCAATAACACAATGTGCTAACCATCATACTAAGGGCAACTTAGAAAAATAACACTATGTGCTAACCATCATACTAAGGGCAACTGTAAAACAATAACACAATGTGCTAACCTTCATACTAAGGACAACTGTAAAACAATAACACAATGTGCTAACCTTCATACTAAGGACAACTGTAAAACAATAACACAATGTGCTAACCATCATACTAAGGGCAACTGTAAAACAATAACACAATGTGCTAACCTTCATACTAAGGACAACTGTAAAACAATAACACAATGTGCTAACCATCATACTAAGGGCAACTGTAAAACAATAACACAATGTGCTAACCTTCATACTAAGGACAACTGTAAAACAATAACACAATGTGCTAACCTTCATACTAAGGACAACTGTAAAACAATAACACAATGTGCTAACCATCATACTAAGGGCAACTGTAAAACAATAACACAATGTGCTAACCTTCATACTAAGGACAACTGTAAAACAATAACACAATGTGCTAACCATCATACTAAGGGCAACTGTAAAACAATAACACAATGTGCTAACCTTCATACTAAGGACAACTGTAAAACAATAACACAATGTGCTAACCATCATACTAAGGGCAACTGTAAAACAATAACACAATGTGCTAACCTTCATACTAAGGGCAACTGTAAAACAATAACACAATGTGCTAACCTTCATACTAAGTGCAACTATAGAACAATAACACAATGTGCTAACCTTCATACTAAGGGCAACTGTAGAACAATAACACAATGTGCTAACCTTCATACTAAGGACAACTGTAAAACAATAACACAATGTGCTAACCTTCATACTAAGTGCAACTATAGAACAATAACACAATGTGCTAACCTTCATACTAAGTGCAACTATAGAACAATAACACAATGTGCTAACCTTCATACTAAGGACAACTGTAAAACAATGACACAATGTGCTAACCTTCATACTAAGTGCAACTATAGAACAATAACACAATGTGCTAACCTTCATACTAAGGACAACTGTAAAACAATGACACAATGTGCTAACCTTCATACTAAGTGCAACTATAGAACAATAACACAATGTGCTAACCCTCATACTAAGGGCAACTGTAGAACAATGAGAATGAAACAAAAGGGACAGCCGGAAAGAAGCAAAATGAACAAGGTCACAAATGCCTGAAGTGTGTTTTTTATTTGCTGGTCAGCGAAACAATATTGAGGTGTCCACCATATTTACACATACAAACTTCAACTTTAGACTGCAATCGTATCTGTCTCTCTGTGTGTGTGTGTGCATGCATGAACGCAATAATTCAAATACAATGCCATTTCCCTGCCTGCGGATTGGAAGGTCATGGGTTCGCCTCCAGGCGGAGGCACCTTTTTAAAAAAAATGACTTTGACTCCCACGTTGACCCAGCCTTGAGTGATTACCAGTGCAGTCCTGGGAAGTAAAGACGACCGGCGTTATGCCGACATCACCCACCAAGTGCTGATTGGTCTATAAAATATTGGTCCAGCCCTATATTCCCAATATGCCTAAAGGCCTGGAAAAGGGACCGTTACTTACTTTTACTAACTGACGTCACTTCACCTTGCTGAGAGAAGGGGGCTGAGTGGTTTGGAGGTAGAGTGTCCGCTTCGAGTGCTAGAGGTTATGGGTTCAAGCTGCAAATATTTTCTGTTCACAGGGACTTCGAGTAATTTCTCCTGGTCTCCCGGTAGTGAGATCGGACGCCCGTGTGTATTGTTGCGCACATAAAAAATCTCTTGGCAGTAAATTATGAAATGTCCAGTCTTCTGCTTAGGCATGCATGGAAGATATTATGAGCTAATTGTCCTTGATGTTCATGACTTTTAGGGGTCAATATTTATTGTCCCACCACCGGTAATCTAGGTATTTGTTTACAGCATTTTTCCAGACTTGATTCTTCTTCTTCTTCAAGTTTAGTGCCCGTAAACTCTGGCAGAAAGTTCTGGTTGTTTTTCCACCTGGACTTTAGTCTGGAACATGAGCGCTGCATGTACATCTATTTAAAAGATATGACTTAACTGAATGCAGATTGTTGGTTCCTTGCCGCTCAAGCAGATGCACTCCGACTTTAAAGGAAGACCCCAAGTAGTCGACTCTTACAACATGCTTGTTAAAGAGGCAGTGGGTCTATTCTTGTTTTCTGCACAATGGGGCCCCGGAACCCACACAGGGACCAGTCTCGATTGAAACACTTGGTAAAATATTAAAACAAAATCCTTAAAAAGAAATTAAAGAACTTACTACTTACCTAGTTCATCATAGAGAGATTCCTTCCCCCATATATGAGGGTCATAGATTTCCTGTAGGAATGAAACAAAACAAACTTTGTTCACATCATAGAAAAAAAAATAAGTTCTGGTTATATATGACAAGCAAAACAAGACAAAAATTGTGATTGTTTAGAAAAAACATTTGACATTAGAACAATTACAATTCTATCTAGAATGAACATTTGAAAGACAGCTTCTCAGTATCTCAACAAATCCGAGTCTATGTACAAAAGAGACAGAGACAGATAGAAAGGGGGAGAAACAGACAGGGGAAGATGGCACCTGATTGACTGAGCAACAAAGACAATCTTAGTCAGCTGACATGTGACAAACCAGACTTGGTAATATTTTTACATTATCTCTCGTCATATGTGACATTTTAGTGCTCATCTTCCGCGCCTATCTACCAGACTCTGGAGAAGAGAAAAAAAGCTCTGCAGCAACTGAGTGCATTCCGGCTGGGAGATCAGTGTTAACATCTACTGTACAAGCTAACCTTGCTTGGGCTTCATCTCCCCCATCCCACCAACACTAAAAATGGGTCTCAACTCGGCTGGAATTCCAGGAAAAATCTTTTACATTTTTTATTATACATCAGCTATTATTAAATTTATTAAAAAATGTTACGGAGTCAATATTTTGGGGTTATACAATCATCTTCTGGATGGTCGTTGTGGCGTTGGCAGTTAGACGCCCATCTGCGGATCAGAAGGTCGAGGGTTCGTGGACTTTTTACAAAAATGACGTTGACTCCCAGGTCGACCCAGCCTTAAGTGGGTACCAGGTGCAGTCCTAGGAAGTAAAGGCGGCCAGCATAGGGCTGACTCATCACATACAAAAGTGTCGATTGGTTTGCAAAAATATAGGTCTAGCCCTATATTCCCAATATGCCTAGAAGGCATGTAATAGGGATCTTCACTTGACTTTGACAACCATCTTCTGATCATACTCAAACAATAGTTACGGATATACAATTGTGTGTGTGTTCATCTGTTTCCTTCATTAATTAGTCTCTCCTCTTCTACCCTTGGGTGAGGACTTTTGCCAGATAGATCGCCAGACTTCTCTATCAGCAGTTTTCTTTCTGCCTTTGTTTGATTCCGGTCTTTTGTCAGTCAGGAACTGTCAGATCCTGTCTTCCAGCGAAACCTGGGTCACTGTAGAGGTCTGATTATCTCATCCGTGAACACGCTTTGTAATTCCAGGGCATTGAGTTTAATCCCAGCTGTGGGCAATATAGCAGCAAACCGCTTGCGTTGGTTTACAAAGTGATATCGAGAGCCAACCGTTCAGTAAGAAATGGCAAACTACTGATTTTAAAAAATGAAGGGTTGGTTCTGCAACAACTGGTTTACTTCTTCTCTTCCACAATTGACAGCGAAGTGTTGCGGGGTATTGGGGAGTGTTGGAGGGGGGTGTCGGGAGAGATGTAAGTATTGTTTGTGCGTTTTTTCCAATGTATTGTACAAGTTGGTGTTCATCTCTGTTAGGTTGCTTCTGTTGGTGTCGCTCCATCTCTTGCATGGTCTTCCCCTTGCTCTGTGGTCATTATATTTCATTTTATCTATTTCATTATATATGGTTTACTTACTGGAGGAAAGTTTGTCCCTTTTTCATCAATATGACAGTAGTCAATCAACTTCTCATATATACTGTAAAAACAAATTTAAAGAGAAGATTAACTTTTTCTTCAGTCTCATAAAATATTTATTTTATAGCCACACCTAAACATTTATGAAATAAAAATTTCACCCAATGGTAAACAATCGTCAGTATGTAAACCTGCAATTCACACTGTCATATTTGCCAAGAAAGCAGTGCATGAATCGATCTATAGTATCTGAACTCCACAAACTAATACTTTGTGTTTCTAAATCTTGCATTAAATAAATGGATGTATATGAATATAGTTAGCCTCTGTGGTCTAGCAGCTAGACACTCGGCTGTGGATCAGAAGGTCGTGGGTTCGGTTCCTGGCGAGGGCCAGCTGTTTTTCAAAAATGACCTTGGCTCCTAGCCTTGAGTGGGTACCAAGTACAGTCCTGTGAAGTAAAGACGGCCGGCATGATGCTGACCACATAGCCCACCAAGAGCCGTTAGGTCTAACAAATATAAGTCTAGCCCTATATACCCTATAGGCCTTAGAGGCGTGGAAAAGGGTCCTTTACTTGTTTATTTGGATACACTGCGATGACTGGACAGATCAACTGTACAAGAGTTAGTGGCAGACTAAGACAGACAATGCCTGACAGCAGAAGACGTGGCATGGTGTAAGACAGACAATGCCTGACAGCAGAAGTCGTGGCATGGTGTAAGACAGACAATGCCTGACAGCAGAAGACGTGGCATGGTGTAAGACAGACAATGCCTGACAGCAGAAGTCGTGGCATGGTGTAAGACAGACAATGCCTGACAGCAGAAGCTGTGGCATGGTGTAAGACAGACAATGCCTGACAGCAGAAGCTGTGGCATGGTGTAAGACAGACAATGCCTGACAGCAGAAGCTGTGGCATGGTGTAAGACAGACAATGCCTGACAGCAGAAGCTGTGGCATGGTGTAAGACAGACAATGTCTGACAGCAGAAGCCGTGGCATGGTGTGAGACAGACAATGCCTGACAGCAGAAGCTGTGGTATGGTGTAAGACAGACAATGCCTGACAGCAGAAGCTGTGGCATGGTGTAAGACAGACAATGTCTGACAGCAGAAGCCGTGGCATGGTGTGAGACAGACAATGCCTGACAGCAGAAGCCGTGGCATGGTGTGAGACAGACAATGCCTGACAGCAGAAGCCGTGGCATGGTGTAAGACAGACAATGCCTGACAGCAGAAGCCGTGGCATGGTGTAAGACAGACAATGCCTGACATCAGAAGCCGTGTCATGGTGGAATACCATCTGTTAAATTGGCTCAAAATGCAAAGGACAGAGAGATTTGTGGAAAGACATGGACCCCTTTTTGCCAGATCAAGCATATGTTTATAGGTGCACATTTCTAGACCAATAGGCACTGTGGGCCGGCCGCCCTCATTTCCCTAAACACAACCTGGTACCTGGTACCCATTTCAGGCATGGTCAGCTCTGGGAGCCAGGTCAGGTTTGAAAACAAAATTGTGTGGAACCTAATACCTTTCTATGATGGCAGGTGAGCAGTCGGCTACTATGCTACCACAGCTATTTAATCAATGTTTAACCTCTCACTCCCAGATCACAACAAAATGTAGTTAACACAAGTCATAATACATTTATTTAAAAAATATTCATCCACACATACACATTACATTTAATAAATATATATGTATATGCAGAAATTAATAAATGTGATCAGAGTGAAGCATTAAAGGGAATACAATTCCAATGAAAAAAATATGCAATGAGAGACTCATGCTGCAACCTCAATCACTAAGGCTTATTGGAAAATGTAATGCCAGTTGGCTTTAAAAAAAGCTACATGGATCAAAGGACCCCTCTCACCCCAAATGCTATTTTTATTAATGCATTACAATCCTAAACATTCGCGCATGAGTTAAAACTGCCAATAGCACCAACTATGTGTCTCATAAACAAGTCACTACAGACAAGTCGGAAAAGTTACTTTTGTGAGGAACAGGACCCAAACAGAAGAGTCGGTTTTGTTACTTCTCAAAAAAAAAAAAAAAAACAAGAGAGGGAGAGAAACTAGGTGTAGGCAAGTAGCCTACACTACAAGATGTCATATTTACATTACAAAAATGGATACTGACCTTGGATTTCTAAAATTTTTCTTGTTCTGAATAGTTCGGTTCAAATCCAGGCCCTCTCTTCTCATGCGATCGTACATATCTTCGATCCTTTTCTGATAAATAGAAAATAGTTACAAGTTGTCCTCTATGCCAAATCTTGCGTTTTTAACAACTATCAAACAGAATTAAAATTTAAAAAAGAGAATCCCAATACATTTCTGGTAGGTAGATTGGCTTTGCTCGGGAGAAAAAAATACTGTCACATTCAACCAGCATCCCCGAAGGGGGAGCTTTAGGTTATAATTGTGACTAGGTCACGTGTTCCATATAAAACTGCTTTTCACTGCACGCCACCAAGAGCTCCGAAAAAGTCTCATGCAGTGTCGATGCGATCACAGGAGACAGACTGTCCCGAGTGGCCAGAAAGTCATCTACTGGCGAGCCAATGGGCTGATGTGATTTAGATTTTGGATTTATTTATAGAACACAGATATGATCACATGTGTCTCAGTCTCCTGCCATTGGTCACATTTCAAGAATTACATCACAGCGTAACATCAGCAATAATCCAACTGTTTATAATGTCGGTTCCCAAACGGTTAAAATCTGCAGACACCTTTCATTTCTCAAAGGTCTGCTATGGATCTTATAACAAAATATTGAAAAAGTTTGAACTAATCATTATGTGTTGTGACTGTTCGTCCACTTTTTGACTCTAGTCCTGTTCCAGATACTGAGTATTGTGTGTACATCCGTATCACAGGTATGATTCATTTGCATGCAGATTGTTGGTTCTTTGCCTCTCCGGCAGATATACTCTTGACTTCGAAGAAAGCTCTCAATTAGTGACTCTTGCGAGATGCTTTTGGGCAGGCAGTGGGTCTACTCTTGTTTTCCCCGCAATGGGGCCCCAGAACCCACACGGATAATGGAAATTAAAAACCTGCAAGCAAGTCAAAGTGACCATTTTGAGATCATGCATCTTTCTCATGGCAACTTGGACATGTGAGACATGGACACTCAGTCTCTGAAGAAGAACATCACAGCTCTTGGACATGTGAGACATGGACACTCAGTCTCTGAAGAAGAACATCACAGATCTTGGACATGCGAGTCATGGACACTCAGTCTCTGAAGAAGAACATCACAGCTCTTAGACATGTGAGACATGGACACTCAGTCTCTGAAGAAGAACATCACAGCTCTTAGACATGTGAGACATGGACACTCAGTCTCTGAAGAAGAACATCATAGCTCTTGGACATGTGAGTCATGGACACTCAGTCTCTGAAGAAGAACATCACAGCTTTTGATCTCAAATGCCGTTGACCAAGAAGAAGAAAAACATCAACGTCCTGCATGAGGGTGCAATTTATGGAAAATGAAGCAGAGGTAGACCTCCACAGACACAGGACGCTAAAGATGCATTGGCTAGAGAAAGAGAAATTTTCAGGAGTAACGTGATGAGAGCAACATTCTGCAACAGACATGCTGATTGATACTAGACATAAATTATAGTAAGTTCACATATTTTGAATATTTTGTTATGTGGTCCATGGCAGACTTTCAAAAATATTAAAAAGGTTTCTTCTTCTTCTTTTGTCATCTCACTGAAACCAGGTTGCAGCCCAGTATTGTGGTTTTCTGTATTTGTCTTGCGCTTCTCAGGTGGTATGGGTAATGGATTTGTAAATATTTTTTTGCAGGTTTCTCCATCATTTATCCATTCCTACTTGGTCTTTCTCTCACCTTCCTCCCAGATGTTCTACAGTTTGGTCTGGGTCTGGCTGCATTCTCACAAGATGGCTGAACCATTTCATTCTTTGTTAATTTAATAAACAATTTCACCCCCAAAAAATTTAAAGGTTTGCAGGTCTTAAAAGCCTATGCTTAAGCACCAGCAAGAAATCAAGGCCAAAACTTCGACAGCAGGCAATTTCTATGTGGCCAAAAAATAAAAGCTATAGAAACATTATCAGAGAACAAAGGGGCGAGAAGAAAAGACATACTGATACTATAAAAGAACCAAATATCAAGGAAGACTGACTAGTGAGCAGCACCTTATCTCAGAAACTGAAATGTTTTTGACATATCAAGCACCAAGGGTTGGATAAAAATAGTAGCAGAAGGCATAGTGCCAGGAAAGAGGGGTAGGGGCCGACCAACACAAGATGGGAACAGGATGAGTAGGAAAACACATGAGACAGATCGGATGGGAGACTGAGTTTTTTTCAGACAAACTGATGACAGCAGTGTTCTGCAAAGGATCAGCTACATGAAGATGACAATATCAGATATTAAGATAAAGTACAAGCAAGTGGTACTATACTGACCTGTAACTGAAAAGAACATTTGCCGGTAGGTTCTGGAGGTATCTTAATGTCATCGCTGGCCATATTTTGAACACTGCGAGTTAGTATGGCTGAGGACAATGAAATAAACAGTTGAGGAATGTTTGTTGACCAATAGTAATGAGGACCACTCTTTCTTTCCTTCGTCACGAAACTTCTTGTTTTCACTTGAAATAAATGATCTTGATCTGCAATGCGGTCTCTGGTATGAACTTGACTGTATCATTAAACTATAGTTGAGTTCTGCATCCAGAGGTGACTTATAAGCCCAATACAAGCCTCCAAAAATCTAGCACAACAAGGGTAGGAAAATATCTGTAGCTAAGGATCCTGTTTTACAATCTTCATTAGGGAAACAATACCCAACTTACTAAGCAAAGTTAAGTTAACTATGTCTTTTGGATGACACAGCATTTTTCTAGAATTGAAATCGCTAGCCACCTTTGAGCCAGGATAAATAAAATCAGTATAAGGCAATGTCCAAGGAAGTCAAGGTGACAGGTGTGATGTTCACCCCAACACTCATTAAACGATGATTGTTTTATAAAAACATGAGACTAGCATCATATGCCCAAATCGTCACTGGCATCACAAATAAAAAGAGAGCTTGACTTAAACTATTTGTTTAAACAACCAATCCTTACTTCCTTGACCAGGTAGTCTTTTTCTTCTTTGCGTTCACTTGCTATAAATGTGGAAAGTTCTGGTTGCTCATCCAATTCTTGACTCTAACTTTGTTCTAGAATCTGAGCCTTGTACACACATCCATTTTATAGATCTGGCTTATTTGTAAGCAGACTGTTGGTTCCTCGCCTCTCAGGCAGATGCACTCCAACTTCCAATGAAACATCCGTACTTGTGTCAATTCTTACTACATGCTTGTTAGAAGGCAGTGGGTCTCCCCCCCCCCCCCCCCCCCCCCCCCCCCCCCCCCCCCCCCCCCCACGGGGATGACCAGGAACCCACATGGGGATGACCAGGAACCTACATGGGGATGACCAGGAACCCACATGGGGATGACCAGGAACCCACATGGGGATGACCAGGAACCCACACGGGGATGACCAGGACCCCACACGGGGATGACCAGGAACCCACACGGGGATGACATGGCAAAGCAAGTCAGCCAAATGCTAACTGGCCATGCCTGAGATCTCCCTGTGACAGAGCGTGTCTGACATCTCAGGTTTCTGGCCATGCCTTGGATCTCCCTGTGACAGAGTCTGACAGCTCAGGTTTCTTGTATCTCCTTGTGATAGAGCGTGTCTGACAGCTCAGGTTTCTAGACATGCCTGGGATCTCCCTGTGACAGAGCGTGTCTGACAGCTCAGGTTTCTGGCCAGGCCTGGGATCTCCCTGGGACAGAGCATCTCTGACAGCTCAGGTTTCTGGCCAGGCCTGGGATCTCCCTGTGACATAGTGTCTCTGACAGCTCAGGTTTATATAAAAACACAAAAAAACAAACACCCATACACAGAAATACAAGACCAGGCATCAAGAATACCAGAACAACAAGCAGTGTTCAGTATGAAGCTTACCTGTATCCACATTATTGATCTCTGGACTAGCCGTAGTACCATCCTGCAATGAAATAAAATATACAGTAGTAGGCATCCCTCTATGGACAGAGAATAAAGAAATATTGACATTTTAAACGATCTCAACTTCAAGAAAGATTGGCTTATAAACAGCATCTGAAATATTTTAGCCACAACAAGATTGTGTAGTAGTATAATACAGATAGCAAGAGAGTATAGTCATAATAATACAAACAGCAAAAGAGTGTAGTAATACAAACAGCAAGAAAGTGTAGTAGTAACGGAAACAGCAAGAGATTGTAGTAATAATACAAACAGCAAAAGAAATGACAATCAGAAACAGTGGTAGTTTGTAGCAGCAGATGCTCTATGGCTGAGAGACAATGTGCATTACCTCTGAATAGTCTTTCTCGTCAGACGAGTCTGATGATTCATCGTCATCGAGATCTTCATCAGGGCCGTAGGACACCAAACGGGCAGCTGAAGATGACAGAAAATAAAGGAGTTGTTAACTTTTTGTGAAAGAAATAATACTTTGTGCAATTAATCCATGTCACTGCAGGTTAAGAAAAGAATTCTCGCATCCTATATGGAGTCAGTTTTAACATATGGCTGATGTCTTTGAGCAGTGCCCTATGCGCCTGTAAGACAGCTTTGTTACTGGTGTGGACTTGGTGGATAAGCCTTTTATGTATCTGTTGTGTGTCACTTCCATTCACATAGACACTGAGAGAAAGGGAGTTAGGACAATAACTGAATGAGTGGATTTGGAATAAGAATTTTATTTTCTCAATTGTTTCATAATGAATATTGAGTGAAGGAGCAGGAGCTCAGAGTACTAGCTGACATTTGGGGAGGGTTGCAGTACTTGTGGTTCCTGAAAACTGCACTGAGCGTTTGCGCGCCTTTCAGCATGGCAAACAAATTATTTGCACGTATTGAGCGGGTGGGTATGGTAATGAACAGAAACGGCTCAGAAAGGTGTGAAAAGGGAGAGGAGACCGGCTTGCGTCGTGTGGTGTGAATCCACATTATCATCTCCAAGTTTGTGGGAATTGATGGTCAGCTCGGACTTTGTGCCGGTTTGTTTTAAAGATGTTCCCAATGATTTATGCTTGCCTTGCTGGTTAACTGCTCCAAGTTGTGGAGGTTGATAATGTTTTTTGTTCTAGCTTATCCTTCAGAGATATTCTAATCCGGTACTGACATTCCCATAATGTAACTGATTCCCCAGTGTGAACAGTGACTTGTTATAATAATGTTTTGATGAGCTATCGCTGGAGTGTTATGTTGTGATTGAGAGCGTTATCGACATTTGCTTTATTATTGTTAATCATACTGTTGTTTCTTTTGTTGTATGGCTTGAGGAATAAAATGCATTATTGATGTTCCAACGTCTTACTAGTACGTGAATCAAGTGGGGCTCAAGATATCATGTATTCCTAGACACTCTGTCAGACAATCACCTAAATCACAACAGTTTCTTTTTCTTTTAAGGTACAATTTGAGGAAAGAATATGTTTTTAAAATGTGTAGGTTCACTGTGATGTCATATAATTTTATTATTGCCTGACATTGTTATCTGTGACCAAGTGACAGACCACTTGTTAATTTTGTGCTCTGTTTGTATTTAGTAGTTTTTTCCCTTCACATAGAAATAAACCTTTTCCTTATTTAGTTATATAGTGGCAGTTGTTTTTTTTAAATGAATTCCTGGATATTTATTAAAAAGATCAAGACTCCAGTAAACAAGCCAACCAATAACTTTAGGCCTCAGAGATGTGGTTTTTACAGAAGAATCCTTAGAAGGCTAAGAAAAGCAACTCAGATGTTTTGAAAGAGGTGAGTGCTCAAAGACAACTTACTGCAAGTATCAAAAACAGATAGTCATCATTTTTGGTCATGTTATGAGAAGAGGGAAAATGGAACATGTGACCACTGGAAAGATCTGTGGAAAGAGAGAGAGAGAGAGAGATAGCCTGAGAAGATTCTTGACAGCCTTTTGTCACGGCATGGAAGAGGTCTCGGCACATGAACGGATACGAGCAGTCGCAGATCGTGGATTGTGTAGAGGTATGATCACCCACATCAGTGGGCAAGGCACTTGATGATGTTTAACTTTGAGTACTTCTGGTTTTTGGATGATGAGCAGAAAATGGGTTCTCATAGACATCCCCTCCAATAGTTAGTTGGGTATTCATCATTGCAGTCCGGGTATGTCCATAGGTGCTCAGATACATACCCTCCAAAAATTATTCAAGTGAAAAGATTAACTTCATTACACCGGAATTTATCCCATATGGCTCGGTCTCTCTCAACAGACCATCTAGCCGCCTGTCACGAGCATTGCACAAAGAAGCACAAACACTGCAGCTCTGACGATGATCACCAGGGGTACCTGCATTCCTCTGCAGCTATGGAACAAAGCCACTACACACAGATTGAGAGGAAATAGCTTAACCCCCTCCCCCTTTTCCCAAAAATTATTATATAATGAAATGAACTTTGCAAAAAATTTTGCTTACTTCAATTTCAATGTTATGATGAGTAAAAAAATCGACACCGCCGCACCTGGGACATTCCAGTAAGTGCTCTGTCCCCACTGTCTGCAGTCAGCTAAGTTCAATTTTATCTTTATAAGATGATGCGAAACCAAGCCTAGCATTTTCTGCTGCCTGTGAGCTTACTAGGCAATGTTCATGTTCACTAGTTTGCTATTGCTTACTGCGTGGCCAGCTCTCGACACCGTTATCAAAACCAATGCAAGGCAATCTGCTACCGAATTGTCTTCAGCTGGAAATGAACCTGGCACCTCGGAATTACGAAGCAGATTTACAGAACCTAAGCCTAGGTGCCAACAAGTTCAGTGTTATTATCATAATATCTTCTTTTTCACAGCGTTCACCAGCTGTAAACTTTGGCAAAAAGTGCTGGTAGTTCATCCACTTTTAGACTGCAGTGTTGCGTGTGCATCAGTTTTACAGATCTGACTCATTTGTATGCAGACTGCTGGCTCCCAATTAGTCGACTCTTACAACATGCTTTTAGGTAGGCAGTGGGTCTATTCTTTCAACTCTATTAAGATTGAAAAATAACAACAAATAAATAACGTGACTACAGTTGTAATGATGATATTGATGGTAAATTAAATGGGAACTCCAACCTTTCCGTCCTGGGTTCGTCAATCCTTGCCTAAATGGAAATTCGGTCTTGACAGATTCCAACACGGCCTGTATTCTCAAGGCATCCTTGTCCGGCTGAGGGTGGCTACGGCGATGGTGTGGATGCTCCATATCATCATCAGAAATTAATTCATCAGCCTTGACTTCTGCTTCCTCTTCCAGGTCATTCTCTTTCTCTGCATTATCCATTTCATTTGTCTGCGACTGAACCTTCTCAGATGATTCATCTTTATCAGAACCATTTTCATTTATATCCGTTATTTCTACGGGTATTTCAGTTTCAGAAACTGCAATGACATATTCCGTTGTGACAGAAGTTCTTTCAATGACCAAACTGTCCTTAGAGGTACTTTTTCTTTCAGTGTCTTCCTCATCGGAGTCTGCATAGTCCATCTGGAGTGAAGAGATAACCGATGTGCTGTCATTTCGCATCATATTTTCCATTTTAGTATTGTTTTCAGCAACCAAATTCGAGTAGAGAGATCTGTCAGAAGAAATAGAAAACAATTATCATCAGAATTTAATTTTTTTTTAAAGTCAGTTATTGTTTGAGAGCTGTACTGGTCAGAAAATATGCTAACTACCAGCACTGGGGAGTTTTTTAAAAAGAACTTAAATAAACTGACAAATATAAATTGAATAACACATTTTTTAAACTGCTGAAACTAAACAGTACTACAGTACTAATTACAGAAGTCACACCATCTCACTTTGGCTGTTCTCCTATGTTCTAGGGGTGTTTTGTTATGAAATGCCTTCCTTTTCCTTCTATACAGTGTGACAAAAACTGGTTCGCATTCCTTTAGTCCCGATGTAGGCTGGGATTTTTTCACATTGACTTCTAGTAATCCAACCTGGTCTCTGAGTAGAAAGACGTAAGCCCATCAAATTGTTGCACCTGTAAAAAAAAAGCCTTTGGCAGCTAAAATTCGAAAAGAGTAGCCTAACAGCGCTGCCTAGGCAAAATTTTGGGATATCTTCCAAATAACAGTCCCAAACTACCGAGGCTGAAAATTTACCCTAACACGGCCTCAGTCACATGTAAATTGCTGGCTTAAATTGTGCACTTCCAGCGAATACTGCCACCGCCGAGAGTATCTCCAACCCCGTGCTAAACTAAATGGCTTGGACTCACGAGCAGCAGCTTCCACATCTCCTGCAGCTTCCTTCATTTCATTTGCTCGTGAGTCCCAGCCATCTAGTCTAGCCCCACTCCACGCCTTGTAATTTACATGTGACTGAGGCCCTGTTAGGGTATATTTTCCGCCTCGATAATTTGGGACCATTATTTGGATGATAGCCAAATTCTGAGTTTCAAATCTACCCAAAGTATTTCAGGATCCTCATCTGTGCTATGGAGTTACTGCACAGCACTGAGATTCTTCTGGCTCAGGTTTGAGTTAGAACGGAGCACTTATAGTAGGTTAGTACTTTTGTGCCATGATGTTGATTCGTTGTATAAACCAAACCAAACACTGTCGGCTGTGTGTTCTAGAGGAAACTGCAGAGTTTTTTTGTCACACTCAACTGTCTTTTCTGTGAACGAGTATTGTTGGGTCAGTGGCCTAGGTGTCTGTGTAAGATGTACTGCATGGGGAGCGCTGACATTAATTATCATATCATTTATATTTTTGAATTTCTACTTTTGTTGGTGGTGGATGTGCTAAGCTTAGCTTAGGCAGAAAACACTCAAAACAAGGAACACTTTGAACACCTGACTATGTCTGTCTTTGTCTAGAACACAGGACAGCCCGTAGAAACGAATTTAAAAATCACACAGGCGAGCAAGATGTGGTGAGATTCGTGAGTTGTACCACCTTCTACTACTAAACTAAATAGTTAGCAAAGCTAAAACTTAATGATGTACTTTTTTTTAGTATACTATTTACTTTCGCAAAATAAGATTGAATTTAATTAAACAAAGAATATAATATATTTTTTGGCTCTCATCTGAACTTTTACCCCCGCAGTATTGCGGCCTTAAATATCCGTTCGGGGCGCAGTCCAATTAAAAATATGCCTGCTCCGTATAACGAAACAAATGCTCTAACAGGGTCTCAGCGATATGTTAATTGCGGACCTGTTTCTTATTGTTTCTGATTACCTGACAATTCTAGGAGACGCAGCACTGCAGACAATAGTAGCAGATGACGATAATAGAAACTGTTGGCACTGTCCATTGTCGAACTTTCTGCCGACGAAAAAATCGCGGCAAATCTAGGATTGGCTCGGAAAAACAAAACAAATGCTCAAACAGGCTCTCAGCGATATGTTACTTGCTGATCTGTTTCTGTGACTATGCCTCACCACCTACTGTATCCCCCATGCCGCTATGCGTGTCGCGGATAGGGGCGAAACTAGATTGTTGGGACTCTCGAGCGGCAGCTAGCGCATCTCCTGCAACTTCCTCCAATTCCTTTGCTCGTGAGTCCCAGGCACCTAGTTTAGCCCCCCCACCCACGCCGCAGGGGATACACTCCCTGTGAGTTTAATCGCGTTTTGCGCATGCTGGCAAGTCTGACATCTACCGCTGCTAAATCCTCAATCGGAAGAACAGTACTGCTAATCTGCGCGTGATCTACCCGCCATATCGGCTTTCATCGTCTGTAATGTCTCGAAATTGACAACGGTCGCTTTTATCGCCTGCTAGTATCGTCTGCAGAAAACGCTCTACATTGTCACCAGACGCTTTTATAGTCTGCTACTATCGTCTGCAATGTTGCGTCTCATGACATTGTAATATTTGTAAAGTACTCCTAGTTTTGCCACAATTTGTTCCTCGGTGGGAACTTCTACAAGTCCGTATTTTTAATTGGACTGCGCCCCGAACAGATATTTCAGGCCGCAATACTGCGGGGGTAGAGTATAGCGACTACAGTGTTCGGCAATTTGCGGTCTTTAACTTTTGGCAATTTCCGTTACCATGAAAACCGTTCGAAACTTGTTTGGGAAATGTCGGCTGGTTTCGGGATGGGTCCTAATCTCTCATGAAATTTTGAGATTGGTGTGATTTTCACCAGCTATGAATAGCTGAAAACGGCGGGAACGAACCCGATTAACAGCGCATGGCATGTCTACGACAGCCGGACGTCCTCTGTTTTTTCTGTTACATTCAGTTTGATTGAAAATAGTGGTAAGTATTTAAGGTTGGCTAATAATTGAATTCTCCATCCAATTTTACATTTGTATATAAAAAATTTTTCTTATGTATGGCTAATTAGATTTACAGTGACATTTTTCAGGCAATCGCTATTATGTGGCTGTGTCCGAGAAAAATTGTCTGCCATCTTGTCTAATGAAAACAAAGCCAAAACGAAAGTGCGCAGTTTGGTTGCGCAGAGAAACTTCTTGTTTCTGGGACGCAAGTTTTAGCAGCTGTTTTTTACATGTCATCTCCACAAAAACCTACATATCTCAGCTCAGAAATGACATACAAGCCTAAATGAGGTACCGTTGGAAAGAGATTGTTTACAGCTATCTAACCGTGCTGGTTTTATTGGTGTAGAGGGCATTTTGAAATTTGACTAAAGTATCTATTAGAAGTTCGGAGGAGAGCCTATATTTTTAATGATACACTAGCGACTACAGTTTCGACAATTTGCGGTCTTTTCGGCAATTTCCGTTACCCGGAAACCGTTCGCAACTTGTTTCGGGAAATCTCCGCTGGTTTCCGGATGGGTCCAAATCTCTCATGAAATTTTGCCATTGGTGGGAATTTGGACCAGCTATAAATAGCTGAAAACAGCGGGAGGGAACCCGATTAACAGCTCATGTCTATGACAGCCGGACGTCCTCTGTTTTTCTGTTAGTCATCAGTTTGATTGAAAATAGCGGTAAATTCGAGGTTGGCTTTAGGCTTTAACTGTTACTCAGTTACTCGTCCTGCTAATGCTAGTAATAATTGAATTCTCCGTCCAATTTTACATTTGTGTATAAAATTTCTTTCTGAAGGGTGGCTAGGTAGATGTACAGTGACATTTTTCAGGCAATCGCTGGCTCAGCCAGTGGGTGTGTCTCATTGCCTGCCATCTTGTCCAATGACAGTCCAATGTAAACAAAGCCGATACAGAACTGCGCAGTAGGTTGCGCAGAAAAAAACTTCTTGTTTCTGGGTCACAAGTTTTAGCGGCTGTTTCTTACATCTCATCTCCACAAAAAACCTACATATCTCAGCTCAGAAATGACATACAAGCCTAAATGAGGTACCATTGGAAAGAGATTGTTTACAGCTATCTAACTGTGCTGGTTTTATTGGTGTAGAAGTGTAGGGGGCATTTTATTTTAAAAATTTTACTGAAGTAGCTAGATACACAGACAACATACATGCGATTTTTCTCCTGCCTGAAAAGTACTGCTGTCTTTCGCTAATTATGTTTAGAATCTTAACATAATGTCAGACTAAAGCCACACAGCGATATCATCCCCAAAAAGACAAAAGGCGTTCAGAAGTTTCACGTTTGAGCTTTCACAACGCCAGAAAAGTGTCAACATTGATGGTCTCTCAAACCGGATATCCGTTTATATGTTTAAATTTTTAAAAACTGTAGTATACCGGAAAAACATAACGAACAACGAAAATTGTCTAAGCAGAGTATGAAGAACAAAAACAGCACTTTGCACATTCTTATAGGCGCTACATTCAGAGGCATTGCAAGGTCGGAAGTGCTCGGTGCTGAAAATTTCCTGTCATCCCCTCCCCCAACGTACCCACAGACACACACACACTGACACACACGTTTGTTTTGCTAAAAACAGTTTTTCCCACCGTAATAACACTCAGAGCGAAGATGACACTCTTCCTATAAAATTTACTCCATCACCATTTTCAGCAGTCAACACAGAGTTCTAATATCAGCTGTGCTAAATGTGGTCTTAACACTTGCCCACCTTACCCTTCCTCTAAGTATTGCGCTTCGGCCAGATCCTTTGTTTACTCCTGGCTGCATCTGGTAATCTTAATTTCAGCCTCATACTAAACGGGTCACCCCATAGTTGTTCCACTCCTGAGCTAATGAGAAACACACAGAACGTCCATCACTGTCTCTTTACACATGCTGCAGTCTCAGCATGTCCAATAGCACAGCGGTTCTCAAACTGGGTACCGCGGTACCCAGGGGTGCCGCGAGCGTATGCCAGGGGGCCGCGGCAGTAATCAAGAATTGTTCAAAATCTGCTTCAGATCAGCGAGGACAGGAGTTTAAAACAGAAATGCCGTGACGGAAGCCAAAAAGATCTCTGCTTACAGGTTCGGAAGACAATGCTATTGCCAAGACTGCAGTGCAGTTACGCTTACACTGAAACGGATACAGGAACAAACTTTCTAGGTCAAGTGGTTTGAGGGTAAAATTATTTAAACTTCCCATATAAATTTCACAGGGAATAAGTGGAGAACTCTGCAAATGAGCAGAGCAGGGCACTCACTTGTCCTGACAGTTAAAAATTAC